CAAATTATACTTAACTGCAGAATACTTAGATTATCACAATTTCTCTTAAGCTAATTCTATTAGCTTAACTTTTGGAAGCATTTTAGCTACTAGAATTTTCAAATTTATGTGTTTCTCTTTTCTCCTTAAAGAAACTATCAAGGGCTTGCCCCAGTTCAAGATCTTAAAACACTAAAAGAGACAGATGTACATGGAATTAAGAAAAAATATTACTCAAAAAATTATGCCCCAAGAAGAATCATGTTTTGTAAATTCTTTCATGTCACTTCCTAATTTTAATCCACATATTGGAGTCTGATTTAAATTAGGAGAAAACTCTTACAAGGATTTTTGCAGAGCACATAATACATATAAGACTCCCCTCATGGAAGTCAGGCAGTTTTTATTCCAACAAGATGAAATAAATCATTTTTCAGGGCTCACCACACTAAAGCAAATTCATACAGTAAGTGAAAGACACATACATTAAGACAAAGCTCCTGACTCAGTGGGCTTAGAGTTGAAAAGGAGATGAGGCTTCTAAGAACACAAACCCCTCCCAGGCAGGTAGAGGCCAGGGCAAGTGTCTCCAGGATACGCAACTCAGCAGGCAGGCTGGGGAAGCCGGGAGGAAGAAGGGTCTCCTCAGAGACCAAGAAAGGCTTTTTGAAGGAGGCTGTGTTTGAGCTGAGATTTGGTCAGGAGAGTTGAGTGTCCCAGACAGAAGGACTCACATAAGCAAAGGACACAAAAGGAGAAACATTAAGGGACAGTCCCCAGGACCAGCAGGAGGCTATATGAGGTAAAGGGGATTGGCACAATTACAAGTAGATCAGGACGGGGAATATGGGGCATGGCCAATACTTTAGAACGTTTGGGCTTCCTTTTGTAACCTGTGAGCACTCCTTGAAGGTCTGAGGTTGTCTGAGCATAAGAGTAACTTGATTTAGACATGAGCATTAGGTCATGCTATGGAGATGGCTGGGCCACTGAATGGCCATCGCAGCCATGCATAGCCTCCAGCAGCCTGAGGGTCTGAATTAGTGCAGAACTCTGGGATGTTAAGGGGGATGTGAAGCCAGAACTAGCAGGGGTGGGGGGCAGGGGATGGCTGAGTTAACAATGACAGCCGCTAACTAGAAGGCTGGTGACACCATTCACAGGAGAATGGAAATCACAAGAGGGTGGAGGTGGAGGTTGGCCAGGAAAATGGAGTGTTTGGGGGGGTGCCAGTGGCTCTCAGGCTGACTAGGAGAAGCTCTACACATGGTCTGCAGGCAGATGATCACATATTTGAAAATAGGGAATAAACCACGAAAGGGAACATGGAAGAGACTCCACGAAAGTCAAGGACAGCTCCAGGGGAGTCTACTATTCAAGAGGAAGAGAAAAGAACAAAGAGACAAAACAGCCAAAGTGGGGTCTCACAAACAGGGTCACGGTGCAGAGAGGGGACACAGGTTATGAGGGTCTGGGGAACAGAATGCTGCAGACATAGTGCATGGCTTCTTAGCAGCCTCACAGCACGGCTACCACAGAGGCGGGGCAGAGTCCTCCCAACAGGGAACGTGTGTCTCTGTGTGCCTGGGGCCTGCATGGGAACTTGAGATTGGAGCTTGAATTAGGTAGCGGAACTCAGAAGATGGAGTCAGGAGTGAAGCTCAGAGTAAGGACCAATCAGAGGGGGAGTGAGACCCAGAAAGGGAACCCAAGAGGAGGGATGCACTTCCCGAGCAAGCCTAATGAAGAGGCTCTGAAAACCAGGGGGTGATGAAGAGGGAAGCAATGCAAGCCAGTTCTTTCTGGCAACCTGCAGCCTCCAAACCCCAGTTTGGGAAAGGACCAGCCTCAGTGTGTGATGCACAGTCTTCTAATTCAACAATAACCTCTACCAACCAACGATCTACATTTCCAGGGATGATGCTGGCTGTTCGTTCCTTCAGGGGCATCAAACCGGTGTCCTGAATGCCTCTGTACTGACTGGGATGCCATAGACCTCTCAGAGGGAAGGAATCGTGTCTATTTAATCCAGATGCAGTAGATGCTGACAGCTCTCTTCACAAGTCCAAAGTTGAAATAACTTCTATGGGCTTGAGAAGTCTCCTTTTCTATGGCAGATTAAAGAAAAATTTTCTTCCATAGAAAAAAAATAGGGTTTACTTTTTACATTTAGGGGCAAAAAAGAAGCAGCAGCTGAAAGTAAAAACCTTTGGGTTCTCACATCCCATAAATAGAGCAGTAAGATTCTCCAATAAAGTGGGTTAACAGGATAACCTGGACCAAGTCTCTAAATACAGAAGACTCATGGAGGGAGCAGGTTCATTTAACTAAGACTCTAATCAGAGGCTACTGATGAATCTTAATCGCATGAATCATCCACAGCAGCTCAGCCCATAAACCGCAGGGTCTATCATGCTCATGCCTCATAACAGGTGTGGGAGGAGCCCAACTGACATCATAAAAATCACCAAATGGCGTTTTTAAACACCCACATATGGTTATGATGCCGGGCTGCCATGTTAAGCACAGCACACATATTCAGGAGTGATCTCTTCACTGCTCCTGTCCTGCGTGGGTGACAAGACTTCTCATTAGTTATCTATGTCCTCATCTAATCACAAATGCTTCAGTCAAAAACAGGCCATGTGAGAGTTTGCAGGAAACAGGACATCTAAACCTGGAATGAGGGAAGGGAGGAAAAGGGGAGAGGAGTGGGGACAGTAAGAGTCACCGAACTCATTTTGTTTTCTATCACTTGGTACATGCCTTTCCTTAGCGGGCCCATGTTGCACTGGCACATGCTTCAGGCTGTAGTGGAAGGCTGGCTCAACCTACTACACGGTTTATGTTTTCAAAAAGAATTTTCAGCAGATGCACTAAATATGGTCAAATATGTCAATGCTATTCCTAATTATTTAAAGTTAACTACCTAAAATCCACTGACTATGGATTACCTTCACCCAGGTCTTCAGCCCCAGCTGACTCACAGGGCTGTTTGGAATTAAAATGTTCCTTTCTTAACGCACAAACAACCACATTTAAAAGACAGCTAAGAAACCACAATCCCTTCCCAGAAAATAGTTCTTACTATTATACAGAGCAAGTTCACATCTTATCACTTCACTTTGACCTTTTGGTTATCCTGCCTATTTTGTAGGAAAGCAAACAGATCTGCAAAGCTTGGGTCAATTGTCCTAGATCATGTAGAGGGCAATTGGTGCAGCCAGGATTTAAACCATCTTCACTCTATCTCCAGTCCTCATAGATTCTCTACGAGAACTACAGAAGGGCAGGAGGAAATAGAAAAACCATTCTAAAGCACAACTATAACTGGGCATAAACTCTAAGCTCATTAGAAAACTAGAAAATCATATCCTTTAGCTCTTGTTCACAACGTTTAAGTTGTACTTACCCATAAAAAGGAATTACCGTGTTTATAGATTACAGTGACCTGATTTGCATATGATTAACATGAAAATAAACATGATTATGGTTTTTTTCCCCCTTTAAGTCTAGTTGGCAGAGAGCATCTTCATCCTATCTTGGCACCCGTCTCAACTGTAATAGACAAGGCTGTCCCTCCTAGATGAGGTCTCTTTCTGCCCCCCACATAGCACTGTCGTTTAGCAGCTGGAAGTTTGAGATCTGTGGGAAATTGAGGATTAATTTTTAATCTTTTTTTTCCTTCTCTTTAAATCACCAACTCTGAGAATTCTAGTGTCACTCTGCACATGTGTGGTCCACAACTATTAACTGTCACAACTTGGGGTCTGCTAAAAAACAAGTTTCCAAGCTCTGTTGTTGTCCATCCCTGCAAGTCTCAAGCCTCCTCTGTCTCTCACCCTCTGTACATTTCTGCCTTTCCCTTGTCCATGGCATTGTTTGCTCTTCTTTCTAGAGAATGAATCTTGTCTCCAACTAGATGAGAAAAACCACTCAGGACAAGACCATCAGAACAGGACTGGGCTACTGATTTGCATGCTGCACATATGCTCACTGTTCACACAGTAACAGGTATTCTATTAGTCATACTGTGCGTCAAGCACAGTGAATATTGTCCTGGGCACTTTTACTCAATACCAACACTGTGGGGCACCTATCATGAGCTTCTGTAGGCTAGGACTCACAGCCATGTGCATATCTCTTCATCAGGCACATTGTCAAAAGCCATACACACTCGGGAGATAGCGCAGCAAGTGTTCGGTGAACGTGTGTGTGTGTGTGTGTGTGTGTGTGTTAAGTACCCTTTAATTTTCCACTCATTGGGCACCATTTACAAACAGTGGAGGGTCGTGAATATTCTCAGGAGGCAGCACAGCAGCATCCAGAGGCCACCACACGCCTCAAAGTCACTCTCCACCCTGCGACGCTGGTCTGCACAAGGGCTGCTTCCAGGGGTGGCTCTGAAGGAACCTCCTTCACTCCGCTTTCCTCCTGCTCTTCTGTGAGGCTTATCTTCCAGCAGAATTTCTCGCGCTTTAACAATTAAATGGACAACCAGGAAACCTACTCTTGGAATCCAGTGAAAGAAATGTTAGGCTCCTACGGAGTGTCTCATCAGGTTAAAGGAAAGTCACTGAAATAACTTTCCTAGGTGTCTAACATCCCAAGTCTGATGGGAAAATGAGTTTCTACATTTTGCTTAGGGCACAAAAATAATCCTAGATTTTGTTTCCATTAAAACGCATATAGTAGTATTTATTTTGATTCAGGAAGATGCAGTTTGCTTTAATATTCACGAAAGCTTCTTGCCATCAGATCCAAAGATTGTGCTTTGGAGATATGTTTAAATATTCTCATGTAGCATCACTGAGTCATAGAACAACTTCATAAACCTGAGAACTCTATGTGTGGGAAGATTCCATTTGGCTTTGTAAAATAATACTTGGATCTTCAAGGTTGGCAAAGAAAAGGAAAAACTCCTTGGGAACTTAGTTACCAGGTGTCATACCACCAGCTCTGTGTCCTCAGAGTCACTGTCATCAAGGAGACCTCTCACTGGTCACTGCTACAGCCCCCACATGGACCAGTATGTTCCCACAGCTCCTCCCCAATTCCCCATAACACAGCTGGGAACATTTAAACAAGACTGCAGGAAAGGAATGGATACTCAAGGGGAATTTTCTGCAGAAGCAAGCAACTACCACATTGAGTTTGTGGGTCTTTAACTTTGGAAAAGAGGGAAGTATCACTGCTGAGCTATGGTCCTACAAAGCACTCTTTTGCCCCAACCTCCTGTGAGTGCTCTGTCTCTCAAATCCAGATTCTACAAAGTTTACGTTGAGACGTCAATCCAGAGTTCATTCTTTCTTGGTTCTGGCCAAGACAACCTCCCAATTCCAGTTCCCAATCTGAGGAAGAGCAGCCCCTTCCAGAAAAGGTACTGGGCCCTCCCCTTGGGCATTACATCAGTATACAGGTCAATGAGTCCATGTTCTCTCCCATACACAGAGATCCTCTTAACACAGAAGCGAGGATGCCTCCAAGTGCTTTAAGCCTAAGTTCACCAGCAACACCTACAGACTCAACCTACCCAGACAGATTCAACACGGCACTCCTAGCAGAAAGCTTCTTTTCCTTCATTACAGGACAGAAGCAAAAGTTGCAATGAATTTCAGCATTCATGAAGGAGTAGCCTATGTGCCGGCAGCAGACCCCATTAATAGACACCCCATTTGTAGAGGTGATGGGGTGTTCAATGATTTATGAAAAGGAAGTTTTGACCCAATCATATATCAAAAAGGTTAAAGTCCTAAGACAAATTTTCTAGAAAGTCTTCTCCTGTAGCACAGGGTTCCTCTTAGTGTTTCTGACTGAAGAGGAGATGGGATGGGAGAAGACAGGAAGCATCTCCTTCCTCTCTCTTGATTCCCAACACTGCTTCTTTCTATTTTCTTTTCTGTTTTTTGTTTTTTTGTTGTTTTGTTTTTTTACATTTTAAAAGTAAGGATCTTAAATTTCTTCAGTCTTAAATAAATGTAACTGACCCTCAAAGAAGGCTTTAGAAGCTGGTTTTGTGCATTTTGCATGTCATAGTTATAAATGGATTTGAAGTCCTTATAACACTTTATAAATTTTATCAATCAACATCCAGATAGGTAGAAGCTTAGGTACATGATGATGGTTATGATTTAATCCTAGACCAGTGTGTGCTGGGTTAGTCTCCAGGCCTTGCGTGAAGGCTGTGATGGGGTGCATGACTCAGGAGGCACTCAGTGGGAAATCAAGAGAGGCAATGGTAAAAACAGTACCTCAAACCTCTCAGGGCAGGTGGTCTATACCAGGTACACAGCAGACATGAGGAATGCAAAGATGGGCAAGGCAGGGGCCCTCACCTCCGGGAGCACATGGATGCAGAGACCATCCCTGTCCCCTCCATCCTCAACTCTTGATTTCTTCCATCTTTTTCAGGTTGGAGGTTAACTTGCTGCTGAAGAGATTTCAGCAGCATGGGAACTTATGTATTATCTGAATAATCAAAAGTAAAAGAGTTCATCTTCTGGGTCCTATTTCTGCTATTTTCATCCACTGCTTCCTACCCATGTGCTAAGCATTTTCATGCAGCCTCATCTGTCTTTTCAATAAGAAAGCCAGTTGATAACTAATTCACACTTAGGTGTGCTGTTAAACCACAGAATGTTGACAAGGAAAACAACACTTAATAATAAATCAGATGATGGTAACGTCTCAGTAGCCAGTAGGAAAATGGTTTCAGATGTGAATAATTCTCACTACTTTATGGATCATACAACATAGATACCATTCATTAATGACTCTAAAGCCAACACAAGGTATGAAAGTACAAGGAATTCCTTCCTAATACTGTCCAGGCAGTGGAATGGGACTTTGTTTTTTCCTTCTGGCCAGTGTTCACTGGTTCCAGAACCATGTTTCTGATTAGATCCTCACATTTAATTTCTTCGTAGGTATTGATGCATCTGAGAGTTTTTATGTACTGGAAACTCAGTATGTCCTGTTTGCAGGCGGTGATTGAATGTTCGGTGAGTCCGAATATCTCTGTATAGATGCTGTGGATAAGTCTGGTGTCCAGTGGAATCTGTGTCATGCACAGTGGATGAAAATCCAAAAGCTGACATGGGTTCTAGCAAAACAGACAGCCTGTTCCACTGGAGTTGTGTCAGGCTGAGTGTTCACATTTGTATCATCTGTCACAACTGTTTATCCCTCCCCTTTCTCAGTAACAGCAAACACACTTGCCCATCACCCTGTGACTGGGGGGAGCAGATTCACTACCAGTCTTGGCCTGTGGCTTGCTTTGGCCACAACAACGTGAGCAGTGTGATGTGTGGCATATCTGAGCAGAAGCTTTGAGAGCAATTATGTGGTTTGGCTCTTCCCCCTGTGCTTCTCATCTTCCATGAAAAGGGCTTGTCCCCCCAGATCTCGGCTCCTTAGCCTGAGTTCTGGAGTGAGAAGACACACAGTGTCACAGTAGTGAGATATTTTAAACAAGAAGAAATGTTCATTGTCATAAACCACTGAGATTTGGGGGTTGTTGTCACTACAACATACGTGACTACTACATTGTGACATGGGCACCAGGACAAGGGACATGCACTGCATCCCCTGTCACAGTGATTTTTAAAATCCATTACTATGCACAGGACTTAGAATGATGTAGGCATCAGGCAGGCAGGATAACAAGTGCACTGGGAATCTTCCAAACTTCTTAGGGATTTCAACAGTCCTATCAATTGAAGGAAGAGTGATCCACCACCCCATGCAAGGACATTATTAGTGTGAAACTCCCAAGTACAGTATCCTATACATACCCCCTAATAACAGAAAGGAATCCTTCCTCCTCTGAGTTAATTAAATAAACTGTACATTGTTCATCAGGTTTCTGATATAATATTGTTTCTACTTGTCTGTGTAATCATAAAATAATTCATAGAGTTGCAGGTCAAAGAAAGAAAAGTAAATATACCATTTTCAAACCTGACATGGACACCCTCCCCTAATAAAATGTAGTCACTAATAAGAATCTTCTTGATTGTACTTGCTACTTATTTTTAAGTGTCAGTGCATTCATACTATGACTTGGTTTTACTTGGTTGATCAGAAATGATGCCTGTACCTTCAGAGAAGTCATAACTGAATAGCTAGAAGAGTCAGATTACAACTATAGGTGGTCTTCTCTTTTGTATTGTCAAATGAAGAAGAAACAAAATGGTCAAACATTCTTGATGTAATGTGTTGCAAAGAACAGTTTCAATCTGAGTGGTAGATTTAAAAACTAAAAGACTAAACAGTTCTAGACAGTGAGTAGTAAACTGACTGCATTCTAAAAGTGTGTCACTAAAGTGACAGTGTCTTTGCTGATTAAGGCCATTAGTAAAAAAAATTTGGACTTTGATGTCTCTTGTACACTTGAAATTTACAGGCGATGGGTAAATTTCACTTATCACAATAGAAAAACTTCGGCCAATCAAAGCAGAGTGAAAACAGCACACGTGATTTATTAATTTGCTGTTCTCTCCTGAAATGTGCTTAAGCCAGTGCTATTGGCTCCACATTTTGTGGTTGCAAAGTTTAAAGAAAAGGGCACAGGAACCATGAGACATCCCTGAGGCCAGAGTCCCATCCCATCACCTCCTTGCTGTTTGCCCATAAGAAAAGTGACTTCTCCAAACCTCTTTGTGCTACCTGGGACATCACACTGGCCTCACGGGCTGGCTGGAAAGCTGAGGGGTGTGGTATGAATGCACCTGGCACAGCCCTCACCCCGGGAAGGGTCACTGGGGCTGCCTTCCATTTAATGTCCCTTCAAATTAAATGTTTCTGTTCTATAGAAACAAGTTTATCTCCTAACTCTGTTTCCAAGGTTTCTCTCATTCCATATAAATCAGTACAGCCTCTTTTTTCCCTTAAAGTTAAAAGGACAACCTCTCTAACTGACTTCTCTAGGACATTAAGAGAGCTACACCAAATGCTCTGAGATTACAGAGGTGCAAGGAACAGCTGTTTTTGGAAATGCTGCAACCTTGAACCCTCACCGGACATAATGACATGCATAAAACCTCTGGGAAGTCCTATAGGAATAAAGATTGATTAATTTTTTTGGGGGGGTGTGGAATTTTCAAGAAAAAAGTAGCATTATTTTTAATACAGCATTTTAATTTTCAAAACCGATCTGATCTCACAGTAAAATGTACTGAACTCAATTAGTGAGAACTCAAGTCTTTTATTGAATTCTCAAGTCCTATTTTGATAAATTAAGGACAAAATGTTTTTAATAGCAGATAGAGATATAATTTACATACTACAAAATGTAGCCTTAAGAGTCCAATTCAGTGGCTTTTAATATACTCACGGAGTTGTGCAACCATTACCATAACTAATTTTAGAATATTTTTATCATCCCATAAAGAAACTTCATGCCCAGCGGCAGTCACTCCTTCCTCCCCATCCCTCCAGACCCTGATAACCACCATCCTGTTTCTACAGCTTTACCTATTCTGGACATTTCAGATAAATTCAGTCATAAAACATGTGGTCTTTTGTGACTGGCTCTCACTAAGTATAATGTTTTCCAGTCCATCTTCATTGCAGCATGTGCCTGCCTTCATTCCTTTTTGTGGCTAATATTCAACTCCATGGATTTACCAACTTCTGTTTATCCATTCATCACTTGATGCACATTTGGATCATTTCCACCTTTTGACTATTATGAGTAACGTTGCTCTGAACATTTGTGTGCAAGTTTTTGTGTGGACATACGTTTTTACTTCTCTTGGGTATATCTCTAGGAGCAGAGCTGCTAGTTGTGTGATAACCCTAGTTAATACTTTGAGGGACTGCCAGTCTGTTTCTTAAAGTGAACCAGCTCAGTTTCTTTTGATTAAAAAAAAAATGGAGGTTAAATGTTCAGTCGATGCATAGCCCTGCCAAAGATGTTCAGTGACTTGGATGACACAATCTTTGAGGTGCCCATTGAGTCAAATTCCTGCCTCCCTGCTTCCCCATATCCCTCTCCACAATGCCCTCTGGCTCAGGAGGAAGGTGTCTTGGCCTCCCACAGTGTCCAATGGACACTCACTGGCCTGTCTTGCACAGTTGTTAGGCTGACTTCTGGTCCAGTGGCCCTGCTGCGTGGGTGGCTTTGGCTAGGCTATTGAGAGTCAAGCCAGTCCCCCAAGGAGTCCAGGCCCTGGCTGTCCAGTTGTGAAGGCCCTGTTGTCTCTTTGTTTCAACCCCAGTCACTGTCATATTGATTCTCAGAGTGAAGTCCGGGAGTCCCTGAGGTGTTTTCAGGGATCCAAAATCTCAAAATTACCTACATGATAATACTAAGACATTAGCATTGTGTGCAGCAGGGTTTTCCAGAGCCTACATGAGGTTAAGTATTTCAAAAGACTCAGTGCGGAAGCAGATAAGAAAACCCAGTTGCCTTTAGTTAAGCCGGGAATTAAAGATGTTTGTCAAAATCTGAAACAGTCCCATTTGTCTCATAATTTTTCTTTCCTCTGGACATGGAGCTGAGCCGAACACAGGCTTCTCCTATAAACTTGCAGCCTTCCGCAAGCTACACATGGAAGCTGAACAGCTAGCCCCAAAGTTCTTGGGCACCTTACTCCCATTTTGCTATTCCTGTCATATCCCTCACCCTGACCCCACAGAGCTCCACGTGGGAGAAACACCATAATGAGACCTTTGATTTCTTCTGACCCTCCCTGATCATGGAGACCTTACACATGCCACCTCCTCAGCTCCCTCCACTCCTGACCTGTGGCCACCGCAGAGGTCCTGCCAGCTGTCTCATGGTGGGAGCCAGAGGAGAACCTACAGCTCAGAATCATGGAGGGGAAAGATTTCATTTCAGTGCTTTCAGATACTGTCACTTCATTTTGTCCAGTGTTTCCCAAATTAATAAAAATCCCTTTCTTAAAAATAACCTGTTATTATCTTGGGGTTCCAGGTTTACACAGAATGCTGTAGGAAGCATTGCCATTAGGAATTATACTTGTGCTTCAGTGACTACAGACTTTAGATATTTCTGGAAGTTCCTCATGGGACCTAAAGCTGATTTTTGTTTTGTATTTGTTTTACTTAAGTCAGTCACATTTACAGGAAAACTGCTTCATGGTCAACTTAAATAAAGCAAAAGATTCTCCAAATTCAGGCTCTAGAGAAGTCCAGGTGCCTCCATGCACTTCATACAGCATGACATCCTAATTGGGAGAAGAATGTCGTTCGTGCTCTTAGGATTCCCCTTAAGAATGGCTCACTGGCTTCTTGTTTTCCTGTAGAAGTACTTCTCCCTCACTACTAGCAGTGGTGGTATTTGTGGAATATCACAAATACCTGTGGATCCCCAGGGCTGTAGATCTCCAGGCAAACCACGAGGATCCTAAAACTGGAGGATCCTGGAATTAGGGCCCAGGAAACCTCCCAGTATTTCCTTCTGCTCCATCATCTCTAGCTTGGTTTTATTTGCATTAATGCCTGGATAGCAGCATTGTTGTTGTTATCCTTGGCTTCAAACATAGGACAAGTGGAGACGTAAAGAAAGAAGCAATTGAGACCCAACCCTCCAGTGACTCTCTTTAGTCACTTACCTTTCAGCCCAGTGAGGAAGCTCCCAGGTTCCCACCCATGCAAATGCCTCCTGATGGCCCTTTTGCAACAAAAAGCACAATTTAATCAAGCAGTACAGATCTTAGTATAGTTTATGATAGTTGTATGTTGGAGAACATTTTGAATTTACAAAAAGAGATGGAGACCCTGATTTCATAGTTAAGATGCAATGACACATATTTCAACAAGAATGAAATACACCAATTCCATCTCTTTGTAACTGGAATAAAGACTTGAGCAGCATTAAGAAATCCCATCTTTCTCCTTTTCCTCCTTGACTTCCTCAAGGCTAGAGGCCTATTAGCTGGTAGACTATTGGAATGCAAATGTGGTACAACCCAAGTAGCCCCAGCTTTGAAACAGAAGGGTGGCTGAGTACCTGCTCTCTCTCAATGCAATACTCCAGCATCGAGGCCAGTCCAGTTCCTGCCATCGTCAGTCAGGCCCTGACCCTAAGCCTGACTACTTTCAACTTATGGGGAGCTCCACCCCACATTCTTCTGTGGTGCCTAGCCCTATTCTACCAGTAGATGGATGCTGGGGCTAGGGGAAGGGAGCTGGGAGAACCTCCCTAATTAAAACAATTTTTCCTTCATCTAGTTAACAGCAGGTAATCTGAGTTCCTTCCTTCCCATGGTGGCTCAGTGCCCCCTCATAACATGAAAGAGGCACCGTCCTTCCCTCTGCACACAATCTGCAAGCAGGGACAGCCACCAGCCACCAAAAGGATAAGGCCCCATGTTAACTATTTTCTCATTTGTTAGTTTAAGGAAATCATTTTCTTCCATTTTTCCACTTCTTGAAAGTATATCTACAAGTTTTTAGCCAAGAATTGTTGGATACACATAGTTGGTTTAGGGATCACATATTTAACTTGATGTGTGTTCATTCTTTTTCTTTCTGAGAAAGAAGCTGCATGCTAAATAAAACTTACCTCCAGGGATCCTGTTATTCCAGTAGCCATCACCTTGACTAGATTTATTTTCATTGATATTAGTTTTCATTGATTTCATTTATGGTCTTTAGCCAGTTATCAGTCAAGATTCTTTCTTAAAAGACTATGAAAGTTTGTTATAGAATTCTACATGTGAACCTGTACCCCAGAACTTAAAGTATAATAATAATGAGTAAATAATTTTAAGAAGTATTTAAACAAACAAAAATTAAAATACAGAGACATTTAAAAAATAAAAAAAATTTTTAAAAGACTGTGAAATTCAGAATAAAAGGCACAAAACTTATTGCTATGAATTGTAACCTCTGCTAAACCAACATGGTTTGAGAAAAATTTTGTTGGCACATTGTCACTTGTATTTTTTACCACTAAAAAAAAAAATCAGTCAGTGAGGTATATGCTTAAATCACACTGGAACACTAATGCCATACTGGCCACAGATCCCTCTGATAATCCACTTGGCTTGTACTTATTGTATTTAAAAGCCATGAGAAACCTGAGGAATGATCCAATCTGGCACCCTTAAGTTCATAGGGAACTCTGTTTCACAGAACTCTCTATGGATCTGCTTTTAATTTACGCTGATACTTAAAATTCTACATGGAAGATATCAAGAGTTGTTTTAGATGCATTACCTTTTCCCCAACTAATTTTATAACTCAACAAAAACCGTGGTTCTGGTTTTACATCTGAAACATGACCTTAAATATATAGACTTATTTATTTTAAACAAAATTGATTGTTTGATAAAGAGTTAGCTGCATGTAGCATGAAGCTTGAAAAGCCAGATACTGTAAATAGTAGCTGCAATTATTTCCTTTTTCAGTTTGCAAATGAATACCATATTCATGTTTCTTCACATTGTTGGTTCTTTTCCATGTGATTGGTGTTGGTGAGGGTCACAGCAGGATACAAGGTATTTCTGAAGACTGGAAAAGGGCAAACAGCATATTTTGAAAGTGGGTAAATGATAACCTTAGCAGCTAAAAAAAATACTAGAACATTCATCAAGCAATCAATTTACAGCCACCTAGGAGAGTGCAAATGTTGGACTGCTATCAAATTACTTAGTAAAAAGGAAATTAGGCCAGAGGAAATTAATATCCATCCGTGACAGAGCAGGGGCTACATAGATGGACAGAGTGAACCATGTATTCTGCAGCGACCTCCTTCTATCTGAAGTCGCTCCTTGAGACAGGATGAGCACTTCATCAGCGAGAGCCTGCAGATCTCTTATCGCCTCTGAGAGCCAGTGACATGAGACCTTCTAATAGGTAAACCATTTCATAATGAATCCCTCCTGGTCTTTTAGTCAATAACTCTCTTGGGAAGAAGGCCAAGAAAACTCAGCCGTTCTTTGAGTTTATTTCTAGAGTGATTACAGTTGTGCTTAGTTAAGGTCTCTGTGTATCAACAGATAGGTGTAAAGTTGGCTGGAAACATTTTCAGAGGCTTCTAGTCAAACTTGAATGCATATTAATTTTATTTTTCCTTCCACAGGTAAAAACCTCCTTCTTTCTCCCACTGTAGGTTTTTTGTGTTTTTGACATACCCGGCCCTCACTCAAAGAAGAAAAGGGAAAAAAAAAAAAGCACCCACTCACATGAGCAGCCAAGTTTCAGATACCAATGGGCATGAGCTCTTCCAAATGTCTCCTGTTCTGGAGATGTTCACAGTCCTCGTGTCAAAACTGAAACAAACAAGCAAACAAAAAAATAAAAGACGTACTACCAAATACCCTAGGAATAAGACTTAAGCTCTATTTGGAAATTGAATTTCTTCCATAGTCAATCAATATTTAATAAAGAGAGAAAAGGAGCTCATTACAAAGACCATCTTGTTTCTCCGCAAGTCATCTATGTGAGATTCCAGAATTTCAGGGCGATAAGTTCTTAATTGGAACATTATATATTCTCTTTGCAGCCAGTGAGCACGAATCACTTCACGAGAAGGCACCACAGCCAACATTTCTCCTGGTCTGCTCGGGGTTTCAGTGAAGGGCAGGCCTGGAAGCACCTTGGGAAATGAGGTAGAGCCAAGCTAACCCCGGAGAGACGCTGAGCTTACAGAGAGCTGAGTGATGATGCCAGCATAGTCTTGAGTTTTATTTTCAGTTTGAGTACTGCTAACTAGTCTGTACAGTCACAGGCTTACTGCAGGGAGTTTATTCTACATCAGCTGTATTCTCTCTTCCTTAGCAGCACTTAATGAGTCGAAAAGACTGGAAAGTTGTTCCCAGCCAAGCTAATATCCTATGAGTTATAAATGACATTTCATGCTCATATGCAGATTTCCTGCACTGAAGTGAATTATTTACAAGATAAGGCTTATGGATTCCAACAATTGGCTGCCTAAGATTTACACCTACCGGCTGTCTCTACTCTCCTGCTGGGAGACTGTGACGTTTCCCACTGCCCTTTAAGATCTGAAGATTTAACGGGAGCTGCTCTTCCTGAGGCAGGTGTTCCCTTGCTTGAGATGGTAACTGGAAGGGCTGTGCACCCCAGAACCTGGAAAGTCAACTAAGGCTCTCCTGGAGGCACTTCTCCCTGCCCTGGGAGGATGCTATCTGCACGTAAATGCACAGGAGGAGAACCAGGAAGAATTTAAATTCCGGAGAGGCCTTTCTGCCCATTAGCAGTGATTTTATAACCTTGAGTTTTAGCTAATTAGTTTCATAATTTCTTTTTGAATGTGTGAAAATCCAAATTTTCTCCTAAAGGAAGCTCTGTGTTCAGCAGTGTGCTCTGCCCCTGTGGAACAGAAGAACCAATGCATCGTTTCTGGCTCCCAGAAACTCCAGGGGTTGAAAAGCCTCCCAACTTACAGCAAGGATGATGAAAATATAAGTTAAGAGTTTGGCACCAGGCAAATCCACCAGTGGAACAGAAAAAACAGTACAGAAACCAATTTAAGTACACATGGGTCTCCAATCCATCATAAAAGAAGCATTTAAAATAAGTGGGAAAGGATGGTTTTTTAAAACATGTTGAATGAGAACAATTGACTATGCATTTGGAAAAAAATAAAAGGAAGATCCCTACCTTATATCACAAAAATAAATTTATGTTAAATCAAAGACCTAAGTGTAAAAAATAAAAACCAAAAGAATTCTGGAAGAAAATATGAAGGAACATATTTGTAGCCTTGCAGTGAGAGTCAACAAAATGAAAGAAAGAACAAAATGACTAATGTTTTCCTAATAAAACCAAGACTAAACAAAATTAAAACACAAGTGACAAACAAGGGAGGGAAAACATTTGCAACTGACTATTAATATCCCATATTTAGAGAAATCCAACTCATTGAAAGAAAATGGCAGACATTACACTAACGGGATAAAGAATACATATAGGCAAAAATGAAATGCGAATGGCAAATACATCTGTGAAAAGATGCTCAACCACAGTATTGATTAAAGGAATGAGGAAGTAAGTAGCAACAAAATAGATTTTGCCAAATCTGATTGTTAACATGTCATATATTGTTCACATTGATTGCTGTCGAGGCTGTGAAAAAACAGGCAGCTTCCTAATTGTTGGCAGGAAAAACCAACTGCTACAAACATTTTGGGGGCAATTTGGAAGTATCTAATAAAATATATTTGCATACCCTTTTGCCATGCCATCTCACTTTAATGAATCTAACAAAAAATAAAATAAAAACATTATAAAGGTATGTGGACAGGGATTCTGATGGAGTCCTGTAACAGGAAACATCGTCTGCAGCCTAGTATATACCAGTAAGAGAATGCATTCAGAAATTATGATAAGTTCATAAAATGGAATGTCATCTTCTCATTAAAATCTGTAAACAACCAAATCTCCATCAACAAGGGACAGTTAAATAAACTGTAGTGCCGCCATTAAGCTGAATGTCATGTAGCTTCTAAAGAGAATGAGACTGAGCTGGACGTAGATGAAAGATCTCTTTGCCACCTCAAGTGAATAAAGGAAGTTGTAGACAAATGATAGATACTATAGGTAAATAAACACATGATGAATGGACGATTAGATAGACACAGTGTAACTTTTTGTTGAGTCTGTGTGTGTGTGTCCACGGAAGGAAAGGACCTCAGAGTTGTTAGTGGCGGTGGACGTTCATTTTGTGTGCATCTAGAAGCTCATATGTTAGTTTCACCTGATGGTGGGAGCACACTCCCAGGCAAGTCAGGATGCTCATCCTTTCCCAGGACTAGATGATGTTGTCACATGTCGGGGCCACCCATTCTGACATCAGCAGAGACTCCCAGCTGCAAAGACCTCTCCTCTGGCGGGGATGCCAGTCACTGGATCAGAGACCCTTCAGCCCCATTCCTGCTCTCCAAGCTCTTACCCACCTCCACATAGAGAATGACCATTGCTTGGCCATGGGAAGCTCTGGGCAGCTGTTAAGGCCCCTCTGCCCTGAGATCCCTATATCTACTCTCACTTTTAAGCTCTTGGTGCTTCCACGAAGGTTACCTGGGAAACGGGTCTCTCTCTATGCCCAGATGCCCCAATCCTTTCTGGGATTTTTGTTAGCTCTGTACAAGGTGTTCATGGTGAAGGAGAAAGAGGACAGAGCTCGGCATCTCTTCCGTTAGGAACCCACTAATGGAAGAAGCAGTATTTGTGTACTCCTCTTTCCCTATCCGAAAGTCCCACGGAATCTTGATCTTGTCAGGATTGGGTACGTGACTGTTACTTGTCGGCCATTCTTACAAATACATCTTATAAACTGAATATTCTCTTAATTTTCTCTGAATATTCTCTGAATTCTAGGCTTTCAGAATTCAAAAATCAGTATGAACTTTCCCCCATCTTTTTTGCAGGTGTCACCTACCTGAGTGAGGAATACAAAGTACCAAAGCCAATTATGTGGTCAAAGGGTCCAAAACCACCCAGGGTAAAGCATCAGTACACCACATTTGTGTTTGCCAAATCCCAGCTCTTCTTATTCTCTCTTCACAATTAGACACAAAACAACAGTAAGAAACATCCTCCACTCTTAGTGAGAGCTGAGGATTTGGATGACGTGGACCAGCTGGAGGAGATTTCCCAGAAGGCAACTGAATACATTCTCATCAGCCGTGGCAGTTCTCTGGAAAGCCCCTGGGCCTCAGTGGTAAGGCAGAGCTCTCTTCTCCTTGACCCATCTTTCCCCTCCCCCAGCACTCCTCCATCTTCCTTCCTCCTCTGATATGTGGAGTGGCTTCCTCCCAAGTAGGAACCCAGCAGCCATGTTGAGGCATCTTTTCAGCAGTCAATGGGCAGGGGTTGTTTTTTATTCTTTATTGCAGTTCTATTCCCTAGCACAGTGCTTAGCATGTAGTAAGTGCCCAATAAATAGGAGAATAACTTTGCATTTACATGAAAACACTTTTTGAGACCAAGGCACATTCTTTACATTTTCTTAGGGACAAAAAATTTTCATTTTTATCCTTTGACAATAAATTTTATTTCTATAATCAATAGTAACTTGGAACTCATCTTGGGAAACAGTATGGATAGCCATGCTAGATAATGACTCTGTGCGTGTGTGTGTATGTGTGTGTGCATGTGTGTGTTGCACGGGCATGTGTGTGTGCGTGCATGTGCATGGGTGTGCATGTGGGTGCATGTGTGTGTGCGTGTGTGTGCCTGTGTGTGTGTGTGAGACAGATGGAGAGAGACTCCTAGACATCATAATCTGTACAAATCAGGAGTTTGATTCCTTGCAAAATAAATAGCCATTCTTTGTTTTTGCTATTGTTTTCTAAGGTAAATACTATGAAAAGCACAGCACTCATTTGAATGCCTGTATGTCGTTTATTTGACTAATTTATTAAACATATTTGAGGTGTCTACAATTTATTCATCCCTGTTCTAGGCAATGCCGATCATGTGTTGAAGAAGCCAAGTTGTTTGCACTCGTGGTCCTTAGGGGAAGGAAGACATCCTAAGTCAAGCAAGGATGGGCCTTATACAAAGATCCTGAGACAAGAGGGACCGGTCATATCTAGAGTCTGGGGCATAGAATCTGTTCAGTCTGGCTGGAATGAAAATTGCAAGGGCAGGGGAAGTGGAGAAGAGGGGTAGGGGACGCTGAGAAATGGATTTGGAGGGAAGCAAGTCATACCAGACCACAAATGGCCTTAAGTGTCCTGTTTCATCCTGAGAGCAATAGGAGTGATTAAAGGGTTTAAGTACAGACATTGGATCTCTGCTCTGTAAAGAACAGTTCCACAGCAAAATGGGAGATTACTGAAGGAGGCAAGATTAGAGGCAGGATGATAGTTACGTATCTTCTCCAGATACAAGCCAGAGACCGCTGGTTAAGGCAGGTAATTTCACAGGAGATCGTCAGAAGAACATAAAAGCAGACAAAATCAAAGACATTTAGAATTCACAGTGGTAGGGCCTGAAGATGGACTGGGTTTAGTGTGGAGACAGAAAGTTTGGCAAATGAGTATCTGGCAAGGGCTAGGGCTTTGGGGGCTCGAACGGGGATCAAAGGAAGCATCTCTGTGGGAGGCACTGTTGGATTCCACCTTAGACTTTCTTCAGGAAGCATCCTTAGGATGCCCAAGGGACACCCAGGTGGAGAGGCCCAGGACCATCAGCGTGGAGGCCTGGAGCCTGGACCTCAGTGATTGCCAGCACATTTTTTAGTGTCTCATAATCAGAACACAGGAAGTCCAAGAAGAGGCAAGGGTGCATTTGTGCCAAAAAATTCACAGACAAGAGGCTATATATAGGCCCAAAGTTGAGGCTGCATTGGATTCAAATAATAGTTTGGAGTTGAATGAAAAGAGAGGCAATGGGAACATTCAAGGTACAAAGAGCAGCAGTGAGATTGGGGGAGGGAAAGGAGAGAGAAAAACGATACTGATTAGAGAAATCTGTCAGGTGTGTTCAATCAAATCTTTTCCTAGGATTTGGGGGTTTTGTAAACCTATGGATAGTCTTCCTGAGACTTGGCACTCAGAGCCTGACTTCTGGGATCCACATGCAGCACTCATCACTGTCATCAGGAGACTAGCTTTACTGTGACTCAAGGCACAGGGAGGCCAAGACATTTGGTCAACGTTTGATGTTAGAGCAACATGGGAGCTAGTGTGCCCAGTGCCCAGTAAGGCTTCCAAACCTAATGCCTCCTCAGATGGTGGTCACCACACTGATTGTTGCCCAATTCTCAGCAATATCCAATGTCAGAATAGCACTCAACACAAACCAGGAAGATTCTGCCAGAAAAAGCAGCAGGCAGCAAAATATTCTTAGTACGTGGTGCAGGGATTCCCTTTCTCTCAAAACCTAATTAGGGACTGGCAAATAGAAATCTTGCTCAACATGAGTTTTATATAGCAATTGATTGTTTTATTTAAGGGTCTGCTTTAAATTCACCAGTATTTTATTCCCTCCTTCCTTTCCTTCTTTCTTTATTTTTAACAAAGTTGCCCACACTCAATTATTGTAAAAACTCAGAATACAGAGATTGAGAATTCTTCTAAACCTTGTTTGTTTTCACATGTAATTGCCATCTCTTAGAGAATTTGGATTCATCTGTTGAAGGCCAGAGGTCAGAACCATGCTGAATCTGGAAGCTCAGGAAGTCCTGGGAGACATTGGGAAGTTTAGATATTCTGGTGTCCGAGTTCTTTACCAAGAACTAGTCACTCAGCGCACAGCAGCAGAACAAGTGTAATGATTTGATTTCATATAGCCTCTGTCACCTTCATCTATATATTTGCTGGTGATTTATTAATATCTGTTCTACCTGTCTCGGCCTGCAGGAGACCTTGTGTTGCTGCATGCCTTCTACAGAGTAGAGAGAAATGAAGGGAGCCAATGGGATTATGACTTATTTTCCAATGTTGAATTTATAAAAAGATCTTTTGTCAGACACTGCACAGCAGTTTGTTGGATGAAATTAATCCTATGGCAAAATTGCTAGCCTCACCTAAAATTGGTGCTTTATTTAAAGAAGGATCGATGAGGCTTGCTAAATATTTTTTTAGTGTTGATAAAAGCTTTTCATAATCTCAGGCTGCAAACATAGGCTAAATTGGCAGTTCTCGATGCTATGCCGGCATGCTGGAGCTGGCTAATGATGTCACCCACAATGTCAGTGAGGCAAAGCCACCCTTGAGCTGTCTCCAGGCCTCTGTTCCTCTTCTGCAATCTCAGGGCAGGAGAAATGTTTTTCTTAACGCATGTGAATCTAACTTTGGACACATCTCAGGCTCTCATCTTCCAAGGATCATCATTTGTATGTTAGACAGCAAAACGTTTAGCCGTCTCCACCATGTAACAAAAAACATTCCTGAGGCTGTCAGACTAAACCCCTGGCCTCTTTGTTCTTTGCCCAGTGGTCTCATGACTTCTGGTTTTTAGGGGAACATTATGACTGGTCTACTATTTCAGTGCTGCTTCTTTGTGAAAAGGTTCACAAATATAGTTTATTTCACAGTTCACACATACTCAACTTATATCTATCATCCTTTATACAAGAGTAGTAAGGGCTTTGAGAAGCCACTGCTACATTACTGTCTTTGTGGCCTTTTGTGTCCTGTTCTTAGAGAGTTATTCCAGGATGTCTAGCTAGTCTGAACTTAAAATTCCTGTTACCATTAGCCGGTACTAGCTCTGGTGAGTATAATCTTCAGCCTCAAAACACTCCAAAGTCTTGGAAAATATTTAAATTTTAAAATGTATTCATTAGATTAAAACAAAAGGTCAATTTTATTGTAATATTTTTATTATATCCATACAAAAAAGAAAATGCCTTTTCCCTCTTTGTCTCTTGTGGCTGTCTACATTTGAAGTCATCCAGGAACACAGCAGAAGTACACTAAATGACACCACGTTTCTCTATCCTGGCCTTCATACCATGGATTTCACCTTCTCAAGATAAAAAGAAATTAAGAGGAAATCAGATTGCATAGAGATAACAAATTATTGCTCACTTTTTAAAAGGAGCTCCACAGAGATAATAAAGAAGGTGTAACTTTGTGCGATGAAATGCCTGCTTTGCTCTTGAGCAGCACTCCCTTTTTCTGTTCAGGAATATTCCGGAAGAGAGTTGCAGATGCCACCCAGCCCTGAAAAATGTGCCCTGAGAGTCAAAACAGATCCGACAGTGCAAAGAACTTCTTCATTAGGACATCAAGCCTGTAGTCATATTTTCAATTGCTGCTGTAACTTTTTCCTTGCAAGTGCTTTCACTTATTTCGGGACCACCTAAGGCTCTGTGTGGTACACAGCAACACAGTTTGAGACATTTCTGTGATGTTCTGTACATCATATAGTTGCTAACAACCTGTCAAAGTCATCCTGACACCAAACTGAGAAGCTGATGGTTTGGGTAACGTATTAGAGGAGATGAAAAAAAACGACAGTCCTCATTACTGTAATAAAACCAGCAGAGACACACTGAGAATCAATTACTGATTGTGACCTAATGAACTAACCCTCAGTCAAGTAGAAAACTGCACCAAGCCTCTTACATTATCAAATGATTTAGGATGGAGCACTGTCTGAAGACGGGCAACAAGTCGAGGCAGATGAGTTTTCTTATATTGTGGCTGACTTAATTACCTTGTTCCTGAGTGCAGAGATCAAATTGAGCAACTTAAGGTGCTAAAGCTCTGTGCCAGCTGGAAATGAAAAGGAAATAATTAACACCAACAAGAGCTACGTCGAAGGTTGTGGCACCTCCTGACAGAAGCAAGGAGACTCAAAGTTAAGGCGGCTGCAAAGTCCTTGACGAGGTGAGCCCTGCGTGGCCCACCTGGCTGGATTTGTCCAGGTTGCCTGTGGCAGCTGTGCACTGAAGAGTCCGGCCAGGGAGTCGGGGATTCAGAACTCACAGTGCAACCCGGCGACCGAAGGGCAAATCCACCTGAGGACCTGAGTGCAGATGGCTGGGCTCCCTGGAACAAAGTGGAGGGATGACAGAGGTGTAACTCTTATTCCACAGCCTCCATCTGTGTGTCACAGAGGCTATTCTTACACACACACACACACACACACACACACACACACACAGAGAGAGAGAGAGAGAGACAGCTCTTGTCACCAATGGAACAGTCTTGTCTTTGTCTTTCATCTCCTACGGTCATGTCCAGACTCCATTGCTGCACCACAGGTGTAGCCAGTGAGGTTGAAATGAATGGATGGTGTTCACAAGGAAATCAGCTTATGGAAAGAGACCTGTTCCTATTCTTTGAATTAAGTTCTTGGGAGCCATTTTTCAGCTCATTTGTCACTGTAGTGTTCTTCTCTTCACACATGCATAGGTGGCAAGGACATCAAATCAAAACATGGCAGGCTCCTTCACTGCCAGACTAGGAGATGAATCCTATGTACACTGGCCTCCAATGCCATGAAAGCACCCAGGAGCAGTGGCACCAACAACAATCCAGGCCTTGGGTTCACATTCCTCAGTCCTCCCATGAAGGATCTAGTCCTACCCAGAGGACACGCCCAGGCTGCATCTGTGCTACCTGCACTTCCCAACAGGCATGTGGAGAGGAGAGGAGAGGCTCTGTCAACACAAAGCTCTGTGAAGCCAGCTTGGGTGTTTCCCACAAAGGGCTGAGAGTGGGATTAACTTCCCCACATCACCAATGAATCAGTCCCATCAGCACTGCATGTGGCATCATCAGACCACAAGGACACACTTCATGAAGGGGTTTCTCAGCATTGAGTCATCATTCAAACACCTGACACACAAATGAGTCACAGCTGTGAGTGTCTGGAGAAATGGGCATTTGAGAAATGGTCTGTACAGGCCATATCCCGTCTACAGCAAGTCGGCAAACCAAGGCAAAGCAAGGATGTCCCTCACTGCAGCCACACACCACAAATCAGGGGCAGGGATGCTTAACTCTGCCCAACTTTAGATGAGTTTTAAAAGGCAACACTTCTCAGAAATCACCTAGTAAAATGCAGATTCTGACTCGGGTCTGGGAGAGGTCAGAGATTGTACAATTCTAACAGATCCTTGATAATGCCGCTGGCCTTGCCTATCTTTGAACTATCCTGGGAGCATCAAGTCCTTAAAGCTTCTGTTCTCCCTCTAGGGTCCTCATCCAGCTGGGCACACATATTAGACATTCTAACTACATCCTATGAGCAACTTACCACTCCAAAGGAGGTAGATGGAGCCGACTCCTCTAGAAAGGATCTGGAGCACCAGGCCCCTTGACCAGCCCAGTCTTCAAGGCCCACTTTTGGGAGCACGGCCTTCGGGGCTTTCACACAAGCAAGCCAATAGGTGGTAAGGAGCAGAGAATTCCCCAGGGGCTGGCGCATAGGTTTTGATCAGGCCTAGGCAAGCACAGCACAGTCAAAGTAAACCCATGCAGGCCTGTGTACCCTGCCCTGACCATGAGACTCCCTAGAGTTAGTTGAGCCTGACCTGAGAGCAAGGTACACACAGGGAATAATTTTCAAATCAATGAATTGCGTACAGACCATGAGGCAATGGCTTGTCAGATGCCTTGCATCTGATGCAGTGATGGAAGCATTCACTAGGCTTCTTGCAGAACTGAGGGCTGCAAAAAAGAATTGCACAACATCTGAAAACTTGATAAAGAGGGAAGGGAGATTTGGCATAGGCATCTCCCTCACTAACCTGAGTCTTTGTTCAATGAGAACACAGTGACTGTGTGGCCACTGCTGCCACCAGGGACACCAAGCCAAGCCATCATTCAGTGCTGCTCTGCAGCATGCCGCCCTGCCCTCCTGAAAGCTGCATGATTCATTGGATTTAATATTGTCCTGAGTCTCACTCCAGGGAATTCTGCAGGAATGTTGTTTAAAAAAAAAAAAAAAAAAAAAGCACAGCCATTTAAAACAGAGTCTGTAGGCTCCATTCTGTAAAATAGGTTATTAACTTACAGTGATGCAGCCAATAGTTCAATTGCTATAAGATCACAGGTTACTCAATGGGAAGGGCCACATTTTAGATTGTTTAGATTGTTTTACCCTGACTCCCCGCTGATATGCAGGCTTTACCAGGATTAGTGTTAAAATCCTCACTGTGAAATGCAAGGCCCAGAAAGAAAGCCACATCCTGCTCATCCTGATCGCCTCCGCCTCTTGGCCAATGCCAGACCTGTAAATACTCCTCCCCTTGGCTGCTCTCAAGTCCCTTTACGATGAGGCTGGCTGGCAGCAGGGAAAGGGTTGTGCAGGGACTCTCTCCACCTCCTCCAAAGGCTGTATAATAGTCCATGCAGACATCTCCTGATGTTTAAAACCTCTCCAATTTTCCTTCTCTGCTCCTGTGTTTTTAATCTCTGGAATGCCCAGGACTGGACACATGTGCCTACTCCTCCCCAGCCCCATCCAACAACATGAAAAGAAGATTCTGTCTGGGTTTGGGTCTGGTCTTTTCTGGATACCTACAAGAAGTTCATCAGGTGCCCTCTCACACTTGCCAAGCTGAATCAGGCCCTCGAGGGTTTCCCTCCCACGTTGCCTTCCCGCATCATGAGGGAGGCCACTGCTGTCTGAAACATAATAACGGTTTCTTAAAATTCCTATCCAATCACCCCTAAACTCTGACAAGTATTTGCAGCTTCTATCTCCTTTGCATTTAAGGAGGATGACAAATTTGAGCACAGAACAGACCATATCTCCACCTAACGATTGCAACGTCACTTTCCGGAACTTGACTTCGGAGGCCTGACTGACTTCCGGAACTTGACTTCGGAGGCCTGACTGACTTCCGGAACTTGACTTCGGAGGCCTGACTGACTTCCGGAACTTGACTTCGGAGGCCTAACTGACTTCCGGAACTTGACTTCCGGAGCCTGACTGACTTCCGGAACTTGACTTCCGGAGCCTGACTGACTTCCGGAGCCTGACCCAGAAGGTGTTGGTCATTGTGAGCCGGCGCTCTTTCCGGAAGCTGCATGCTTGGTGTCTGAGCCCTTCAGTCGAGCCCCGTCCACACACTGGACAGCACAGCTCAGCCGCGTGGACGGTGCAGATAATGTTAATTGAAAGCAAATGTCATTTTGGAAGGTCCGTCCCCCACCTGACAGACGTGGAGGCTTCGGAGCGGGTGTGGCCGCGCCTGGCGACCTGTCCCTCGGGTGTTCCCTGAAGCTCCGCGGTCTCCCGACACTGGCGCCTCCTCCATCCCCGCCGCCCGCCGCTCTCACCAAGGGAGGCTGACGTCCCGCTCGCAGAGCTGGGCTCCGAGGCTGCGATTCACACCAACTCGCCTCAAAGAAGCCAGCAGCAGGGAAACATCTCCTTCGGGCGTGTCTGCTCCCAAACAGATGCTACTTGGAAAAAATCACGTTTGCTGTTTATCTTGTGTTTGCCACGGGAGTACACGAAAATAGAGTATTTGCAAGAAATTAAGAAGTACAACGAAACCGAAAGCCCCTGATGATCCCAGTCTTGAGATAAACACGGGTAACATTTTGTGGGATTGCTTTCTGGTCTTCTCAGTCCCATTTCAAAAGCGGCACAACATACGGCATGAGATCTCTTGAAAGTTGTCAACCGTAGTCTTTAGACCAAACTCGGGAAGGAATATGTTGCCTTTTCTGCTCACGGTCTGGGTACATTTCCAACCTCTCCCTTTCCTACCCCTCTGCATGTTCGTGGAGGAAACCATGGTGTACCCACGAGGCCATTCTGGGGATATATTAAAAACTCCTCCTTCACAGAAACAGCCAAGGCATTAAAGTATAAATCAACTGCACAGAGTTCAAAAGAAAATCAACCATGCCGGGGTCAGGCTGGCCTTCCCAGCAGGCGTCTGAGCAGAAGGGCTCAATGTGCTGCAGATTTGGGGACGTGCCCTGACCCAAGAAAGACTTGTCATCTGAAAATCGCTGGGGGCCATGGCAGCCTCCCCTAAGGTCCTGAGAGGCCTGCCTTCATTCACACACAGCTGGGCAACTCCAAAAGATGCTGTGTCCTGGGCAGAGACCCCAGTCTGGATTTGTAGTGCCAGCCACAAACAAAAGAGGCCATGTGCCACCCTCAGAGCACCTGGCCTTCCCCTTCACAGCAGGTAGCTGACGTCGCTGTTGGTCTATACTTGGAGGTTATTTGAAGCTTGTCTGTCTTTCCCCGTGAGATTTTAAACTTCACAAGAATAGTGCCTTTGCCACTTGTGCTCAGAATTTTATTTCTAGTGCCTGAAACAGAGGTTCTCAACAAATATTTGCTGAGTAGATGAAGAAACAAGTGGATGAGTAAAAAGGGTGGATTTTTCCAAGGCTAGCATGACCAATGGCCCAAACAAGGCCATTCCCCTCATAGGCTGTGACTCCTCCTTTACCTCCTTTACCCTCCACCTCTACACCTTACCTACTGTGTGTGACTCTGTTACTCACCCACCAGGAAGGCAAAACTGAGACAACTAAAGTGCATACAGGGGCACACAGCTTCCTGTTAAGGTCCTGACAGTTATGATGGAAAAAAAAAAAAAAAAAAGGTAATACTGGAAGCATCTATCTAGGATCCTGATGATTTGAGAAAAAACACAAAACATGGCTAATTGGGATCATCTCCCCTTTGTAAGCCCCAAGTTCGATGGTCCTTCGAAATACACTTCCTAAATCCTACCTCACACTACCTATCATTCTTAGTAGAAGCTATAATTCCTCACTTTCCACACAGTAATACAGACTACCAGATAAGGAGTTTCTAGAATTTCGCTATGCCCACCTAACCTATCTTTCCACTTCTGCTGGAGAAAAAGACACCCCTCTGCTTCTCCAAATCTGAGCAGACTACTTTCGACTATTTCACTGTCTCTCCCCACAACCTTTCCACGCACACACACACACATATCTTTAATTTTTCCATTTCATGTGCTTCTTCCCTCCCATCTATAAACATGCTCAAAACTTTTCTTAAAAATGAAACATAAGTGCACCAAATCATAAAACTACTTCTCCAACTGTCTCTCTTAGTATAAGGATCATCTTTATTTTTCACTAGTAGAAAGAAAAACATATGCAAAGAAATAGAAACTCATTTGCCTCTATTACAAGTCAATTTCTGCTCACACCACTGCTGAGATAGCTCTCTGCTAAATAATCAGTAATTCCCTGGTTGCCAAATCCAAGGATGTACATAATAAACAATCTTTTTATACAATCTTTTGAACAATCTCTTTATAGCATTTGATACTTACTTCTTGAAACATTTTCCCCTTAGTTTCTAGGATATCAGTATCTCTTGACTTGCCTCCAGTTTTTCTGAATATTTCACTTCAATCTCTTGGGGATCGATTCTCGTCCTCCAACTACTGCTCAAATCTTGGGGCGTTTTACCATGAAATAAAGGAGTTCTACTGTGGTGTTTTGTTTTGAAGCCATATCTTTTCCCTGTGTTGGCACATTAATTCCTTTGGTTTTAATTACTACTTCTAGATGTTAATAACTTTGAAATCTATGTCTCTGGTTCTGACTTCTCTCCAAAGTGTCAGAACCTTAGGTCTGGCTGCCTCTTGGAGGCCTGCACTGATTTTGGAGCCAACATGAACCAAAACTTGACATTGCTTTTCAGACACCTGTTCCTCCTCCTCTCTGAGAGTGTGTCATCTTGTTTCCAAGCTAGGGATTCCCCTTAATTCCATGGTTCTCTGCCTTTGTAATCAGTTAATCACAGTCATCTCAATTCTACTTTGGAAGTGTCTCATAACCTTAACCATTTCTCCTTTATCCCTGCTGCAGTTGCCTTAGATCACAATCCTTACCAATGTTTTCTTTTTATTTCATTTTTCTAACTGCAAACATAATACATTTTCAACAGAAAAAAATATGTAGAATTCAGAGATGAGAGCAAAAATTTCTCATAATATTCACTTCTATAGTTAACTAATGTTAATATGTAGGTAAGTACTAGAAGTTACTGTCAAACGAACATACAGTTTTGTTAGCTGTATTGTTCCCAGGATGCTTTTTCAGATCATTTTATATTTTGCTACATCAGTTTTACTGGCTGCATGATGTACCATTTTCTTATCGCAGCATTATCCAGTTAAACAATCCCTTAGCATTCAATATATTTCAGTGAGGATCAAAATAGAAAAAAAAATAAAACGACTATTTAAAACACAGGGAATTTAATGCAATTAATTGGTTACAAAGGTGAGTAAAGGACTGGGGGAACACATTTAGGGGATAATGAAGCAATTCAGAAGTAGTAACAGTAAGAAGCCTCACTACCCTATTCATATGGTTAAGCATAGGTGTACCATTTTGTCTGTTTATTATTTCTATTGTCCATTCTCTTTTGGTGTCTCTGTTCTTCCTTCTCTACCTGTGTTGGGTTAATAAAATATTTTTAGTATTGCATTTTAATCTTTCCATGGGCATTTTAGCTTTACCTCTTGCATTACTTTTTAGAGTTGCTCTAGGGATTACAAGTGCACCTTTAACTTATCACCATCTAATTAGAGGTAATATTGCACTGCTGCAAGTAAAACATTGGAAGCTCACAGCAATATAATTACATTTATTGCCCTATTCATCCTTTGTGCTGTTGTTTCCACAAATATCAGTCTGTCCATACTATAAGTACCACAATGTCATGTTAGAATTTTTGCTTTAAATACCATGTGCCTTGCAGAAATTAAGAAATGTGTATATATAGCATATATGTGTGCATATATGTATATGTGCCCATCTTAAATATGTATTTCATATATTTTTACCCACACCATTTCTTACAGTCTTCCTTTCTTCCTGAAAATCTGAATTTTCATCTGGTGTCATTTACTTCAGCATGAAGAATGATCTTCCTTGTAATGCAAATCTGTTGGTAGCAAATTCTCTTCGTTTTCATTTATCTGAAGTATCTTTATTTCATCTTCATATTGACAGATAGCTCTTCTAGATATCAGTATCTCTTGACTTCCTTCCAGTTTTTCTGAATATTTCACTTCAATCTTCAACTTAGCCCAAGATGGGAACCCAGCAGTCTTAACTATCTCTTTTTGAGAACATGATTTGAATTTAAAACAAAACTGTGACAGTCTGGCATTTGATTCAGCATTTTTCTTTCAGTTTATATGCAGATCAACTATGTCCTAAATTATCTATCTCTTATTTGCTTCATTTACAGCCTGTGTTTTTCTATGAAATACCAAATCTTGTTTTCTTAAATGATTGTTCTAGAAAAGGGATTTGCAGGCAATATCAAGATAAACTGTACATTCATCCTCAGATCAAATTCTCTTAGTTTTCATTTATCTGAAATATCATTATTTCATCTTCATATTGACAGGTAGCTTTGCTAGATATCAGTATGTCCTGACTTTCTTCCAGTTTTCTGAATATTTCACTTCAATCTGGTTAACAGATTTTTTTTCTACTAATGTGAAGAAGTAATTCTATTGTCCTCTAGCCTCCTTACTTCTAATGAACAGTCAGCTGCCATTTGTATCATTATTCCCCAGGATGTAACACCTCATTTTTCTCTGGATGCTTTCCACCTTTCCCCTTTACCTTTCTGTTTCAGGAGTTTGGCTGTTTCATGGCTATATAATTTCATGCCACGCTGCTTCTGCTTCTGCTGAGATTTCTACTAGAAATGACCTGTCTCCCAACCCATTATCAACTTAGCAATATCCTACCCAGGCACTAAAGACCAGTTCAAAGTTCTCCCTGTCTGTGATACCTCCCCACAAAACCCCTGAAAGTATAATA